AGCAGCCTCCTCAGCGCCGTCCTTGCAGCCGAAGACGCCAGTGTCTGAGCCACGCACAGTGAGCTCCCGTAGGGCAGGTACCGTCAGTGTTAGCGACACACACGTTGCCTGAGGCAACACAACCGTCCTGCGACCAGCCTGCAACGGCACAAAGTGTATCTTTACTTTCAAGGGGCAGAGAAAATAGACGGGTGATTATATAACAATTGTGAGCGCGACGGAAAATGAAAAAGAGAGGCGTAGAATCCCCGGTGGAGGTGTTGGAGAAAGCATGAAGTGTGCTGGTATTGATGAGTACACCAGCGCATTTCAAGTCCCGATTAGATCTCCGAGGACTAGAGTCACATTACCAACGACAGAATCATTTCAGCAATCCACTGACAGTTGTTTTGTGCAGTGATCGTTTAGACTCGCAGTAAACAAGACGGACTTTGTTTTGAGCATCGAACCGGGTATTGCTTAAATGATGATGGGCTTTGTTGCATCGAAGTGCTTGCGTTACGCTAAGGACCCCCAATTTGCTTGAATTTAATGCCGATATGGGAACACACTCTAAGAATTATAGCCTGGGTGCTTTTGAAGTTAACGACTTGACACGGATCCACCTGAATGAGATCGTAAGTTGGAATATATTGGCGAGACGCCTGCATGCATAGTACGTTCAGAGCCGTATTTGAGGCGTAAGTGGTAGCTCAGGTCAGGTAAAAGGCTGCTAAAGATCGAACAATGTCACGTCTGATATACCTGCGGAGTGCGCATTGAGAATTCCAGAAATTGTCGAAGAAAAACAAAGTAGGTCCAAATTTGTGGCTCACCAAATTATCGGCGCCGTGATTGCCAGCGTAGTGACTGAGGATACGGATGAGCGCTAGAGAGCATAGCCGCAAGATATGGTGGCTGTGCTGCCGTGCAAGTTTACACATGGCACAGCTAAGATCATCATCCACGGTGAGAACGTCATTGCTGGAGACATTTGTGTCTGTTTGAAACAGTGGAGCTAGCAGCGTGTTCTTTTGACTTGATTGATGAAGAGTGGTGAAGCGATTTCCACGTTATTCGGCGAGATGGCTTTTCTGTGACGTTAGATCAGATGAATGAATGATATATGAGCCGTGAAAGCTCATACATCTCTATTGAGGGTTGCTCGTCTTGGTGCTGTGTACCAGCTGTACCCATTAACCGGTCAACCTGAACCGGTCCAATACGATCCCGCTGTGATTATGGTAAATTGTTTATGCCATCCATGATTGGACGAGTAGAATGATTGGACGAGTACAGAATGATTGGATGAGTAGAATGATTGGATGACCTAGGTAGTGAGGACAGTGTAAGCCTCGATTAATCAATCACTTTCGAATCTTCCTTTCTTCCGCTCAAGCGTCTTCACTCCGGTCTCCGCACCTAGTGCAGAAGTCACTCCGTTCAGCCCCAAGCTTCGTCCCAACACCTCTACACCATTAACAGGTTATGAGCTCAAGCACCATGTCCTCTGCCCATGACGCCTCAACCAAGGTCACCATCGACAAGTTCAACGGTGACAACTACGCGACGTGGAACCGCTACATGCGTGGCGTGTTTCTGACCAAGTCGGTATGGCACGTAGTGAACCGGGAAACGAAGCCCAGCCTTACGGACATCCGGACCAAGGACGACTACGTCAAGGCGAGCAACATTGCGTTCGGACTGATGTTGCTCCACATGAACGCGGACTACCATCACGTGGTTGATGACTGCGAGGAAGCGTGGGGCGCGTGGACGCGCTTGAAGACGCTGTATGGTGGGTCGCAGAAGGCTGGTCGCATCTACCTGAAGCGCCAACTCTTCAGCATGGAGATGTCGGAAGGCGGC